TTTTTTCGTATTTTGTAGCCAATAAAAGCCGTGATCTCATGACGTAGTGAAAAATTGGATGGGGCCTTCTGTGAGCCTAAATTTCTGAATAAATAAAATCTCAGGTATGTCAGTGGTGGAGAAGACTTTTTGATAGCAAAGGGACAAGGCAAATCAATATCTAGTAGTAGAAGTCTTTTGAATTCAAGAAGCAAGCTTCAAGAAGGCACAAGTTACCAGCCAATTGCAGAGAGACTAAATAATTATAAAGTTCAAGTGAAAATTCTCTTGCGGTTGGACAACAAAGAAAGGAAAAGAATTCTACGAAATTTTCCAAGCACCAACAGTATGATATTAAAAGAGACTTTTCAAAAGTTACTGTATGCCCCAGAGACGCACTTGAAGCAAGTAAAAATAATTGTTTTCGTTTTTTCTCAAAGGTGATTGCACCTTTCTTGAATTTTTTTCTCTTTTTGTCTTTTTTAAAATGCTTCTCTTTTCTCAAACTGTAAGCTTTTTTCATTTTTCGATTGTAATCTTTTTTATCAGAAATTGTTATCCTGGCGCAGATTAGAAATTTTGTATCTGTACTATTTCGTAATTGTGTAATAAATGTTTTTCCTTTCAAAATTTTACGCAGTCCTTGACTGTTATTGTAATTTTGCGCCCTGTATGATTTGCTATTTCTACGAAAGTTTTGAGTTTGGCACAAGAACTTAGATTTAGTAAATAAATTGTTTATAAAGGAGAGATAGAAAATACGTCTGTTTACTCTGGCGGTCGGCGTTTTTATTGAATAGAAAATGTACAACAATTTGGTTTTGTTAGGACATTTATCCATTCAGATTAATGTCCACTCTGCTAAAAGTCTATTGGGTGAATTTTCCTTAGAGTACTGTCCTTTGGCCAAATATCTATCGATCAAGTGAACCGGAAACCCCAGACAACATATCTGTGTGACTGTCGATGTTGTCGAGAAAACAACTTAAATTCCATTAAAGAATTAACTTTGACCTATCCTCCTGGAAAAATGCCATACTATTTAATTTATAAATATTATTGAGGAGTTAAGTGAATAAAGTTTTATATTATATCAAGATTAACACTCAAGATGCAAGAAATAACTTTAAATTATGTTCGAATAATCAGAAAAATTTATGTCCGGATATAAAATCGAATAAAATTGTAATTTATAATTTTAATGATACAAGATTAAAATATGCATCCAATACTTTATAGTGAACCTAAATAAATAAGTACTTCATATATTTTCTAACCGAATTTTTTTGTGGGGTGGGGAATTATTATTAATATATAAAGAGCGATCTATTCGAACTAATATCCTTATCTTGATTGTTATTTCCCAATATTTTTTGCAGTTGTACGCTCCCAACTTCTTCTGGTGTCTCATATGCATAAATTCAAAGAATTAGAAAGTATCATCTAACAAAGTGAGAATTATCTAATCCCATAAATTGAATAAAGGGTTTGGTTTGAAATTTCCACTGGGCTACCGATGCCAAGAGAGACGTGAAGAAGGTCACAGAGTACTATTATAAAATACAACCAATCAAGATGACGACAACAGTTCAAATATATACATACATACATACATATATATATATATATATATATATATATATATATATATATATATATATATATATATATATATGGAAATATTTACCATGAATATTATGCATGAGTAAATTGAAGCCAAAAAATATATATGGGCATAAGAATGATAGTTTTCTTTCTATTTTAATGCTTTATCTATTTTCGTAGGGAGCTGAAAATTTCTTGGGCTGACCAAGTTGGGGTTTAAAAAATCATTACGTCTTGTCATTTGTTCAAACACGAATGTGCGTGTTGGTATAGTTGTGTGTATAAGTATATCTATTTGTCTGTATCTGTGTCTGAGTATATATATATATATATATATATATATATATATATATATATATATATATATATATATATATATTCTCTGACAAAACGCGTCATTAATAAAATTTTCCACTTTGTCTCATTGTGTTCACACACACACATATACGTACAAATACACACAATTAGGCAATTGAATAACAAAGTGGAAAAATTCTGTTGCATGGTTCGTCACCATCAGAAAAAGTCATGTTCTTATTGGTGAACTATATATAAGTCGTAGACACATCAGACACTAGAAAGTTATAGTCCCTACATGTTGAGCATTTTTGTTTTATCCCCTCCGCTATACATACACACACACACACACACATTAAAACACGCAAACACACTCACATATATATACACGACCATGCCAACATACATGACCACAAAAATATTAAAAATCAAAAGAAAACGGTTGTTTCAATCGTTTTCTTTTGATGTTTGTCGTGATGGTCCATCCCGAACCATAAGAAACCGAGCACAATGGAACTAATATGTCCTTATTTAAAAAAAGAAATTTCTTTAATATTAATCGTTCACTTTTGTCTTACCAGACATTGAATTCTGCCATTTTAGATTTTCCATAAGTATTGACTGATCTTTCAACCAGCTGATGCATCATGAATGTTCTGAAAATTAAATACCCTGATAAACCAACTACGCCTCTGCTCTTGTTTATAGGCACAAAAAAATAAATCCTAAATTTGCCTTAATAAAGTCACTCAGAGGACGAAACGTCTCGGCTAAGAATAGTTTTCCTCTGGTCATTTTTTTATTATATATATATATATATATATATATATATATATATCCATCAATTAGAATATTAGTCTGAATTCATTTTTTTTTTTTTACAATTCCTTTTATTGTACATTTTCCTGTGTCAATTTTAAATCTCCCGTTGAAGCCTGACGAAGGGGAGCGAAACCAATTACTTCATCCGTTTTTTTAATATGTCTCGTAATATTAAGTTTTATACTTTTATTTCGATCATTAAATTTTGTACCTACAAAAATATCTTTAAATATATATATATATATATATATATATATATATATATATATATATATATATATATATATATAGATAGATAGATAGATATATAGATATGTGTATGTCTGTGCACGTGTTTGTGATGTGCGTATGTTTTTTAGCGTGTATGTTGTGGTATATATATATATATATATATATATATATATATATATATATATATATATATATATATATATATATATATATATATATATATATGTGTGTGTGTGTGTGTGTGTATGCGTGTGTGTTTGAGTGTGTATATGTGTATCTGTAGGTGTTGTATATTATGTTGTGTATATATGCATGTCTGTATGTGTTGTGCATATTCCTTTATATATTGTTGTGCATTTCGAAAGCCCCTGAAAACCATAACACACAGTTTAACCCAAGTCTTGTGAGTGAAATTACGTAGATGTAACTGGCGGAAGCTGTCGATGGCTGTGTGAGAAGAAACTCACGAGTCATCGTGACCGGGGGTTTGAGTGTACTTGAGTTATACAAAATGCGGATCATGACAAATCGTGGACTCTTTCTTAGAAACTAACTAAGCTTCGCTCAACATAGTTGCAGTACAGACACATTGAGTGTTGAATAGAGTTGGTACAATTGCGCCAGGGAAGGTGTCTACGACAGAGATTGTCTAACTGCTATAGTAGACGTGTGTATTCGGAAACGATATTAACACGTCATTATATATATATATATATATATATATATATATATATATATATATATATATATATATACGAGTATGATCAAAAGTGTTGGGGCTGTTGGTATGGTAACGGGGCTAAAAGTACACAGAGTGAAGCTGCTTGGTACATGTTGAGCGCAAACTCTGTTGCGCATGCACACTAATTTATAATGTTCTTGCTCCCTCCTGATGTTTATAGTAGAGCTCGGAAGGAAAGTGCGTAGAGCATGCCCGTCTCACCACAACACAGAATTTCCATCAGTGATTATGGCTTCTGCAGCATTTTGGGGACAAGCACAATATTCCCCAGGTCTGGAAACCACCATATTTCTCAGATCTTGCACCTTGCGTCCTTTGCATCTTCAAATCCCACTTGAAAGGAACAAGATTTCAAGATGTCGAGACAATGCAGTGACAGCTGCTCGCAATACACAAAAAAGGTATTCAATGGAAAGGACACTGAATAAAGTTTGTAGCTTCAAAAGAGGACTACTTAAAAGGAGATTAAATGCAGAATTGATATGTTTTGTATTTTGCTTTTTATACGACCAGTCCAGATACTTTTTGATCAATATATATATATATATATATATATATATATATATATATATATATATATATATATATATTCACTGACAAACGCGTCATTAATAAAATTTTCCACTTTGTCTCATTGTGTTCACACATATACGTACAAATACACACACACACACACACACACACACACACACACAAATATATATATATATATATATATATATATATATATATATATATATATATATCCTAATGTAAAAGAACGAAGAATAAAATTTCAACGTTCAAAACATTAATTTAAACAGGGCGCAATACAAAAATAGACCAATAAATATTTATTATACACTGTTAGATTAGAACATGTAAATATCCACTACAAAATTGTGCATTTTGTTTCGACGTTTAATAAACAAGAACGTCTCATCAGGTAGCTAAGAATGATGGTAACCATTATTGTTAACTACCTGATGAGACGTTGTTTATTAAATATCGAAGCAAAATGTACAATTTTGTAGTAGTAACTTACATGTTCTAATGTAACAGTGTATAATAAATATTTATTTTTATATAATATATATATATATATATATATCATACAGGTACACATTCAAACATCATACGCATATATACATGTGAGTGTATATATATATACCATATCCCGATTGGACCGAAGTCATTTTACTTGCTTTTACTTAAATATTTCAAATCATTAACTTGGTGTAATTTTCTTTCGAATGTTTGCTGCATTTCTTTTATCCTGTTCGTGTCGTAGGCAAAGCTTTTCCAATTCTTCACAATTAAGCAGTTGATTTGTAGGCTTTGTCACCTGTGATTTGCCGGGAATAATGGCTGGTAACTGATTTTGCGACGATGGCGAAATTTCCTGCATCGAACTTCCAGCCTGGATAGTTGGCTTCACTAACGGTTTCGGTACTGACTTCGCATACTCAATGGCCTGAAAACACAAAGAATTAAATTTAAGAAACGAAACATTGACGGTATTCGTGATTTTGATCCCGGTTCACACTCCTCCCCGGTCTTTTGAACAGGAGTAGAGATTTATCACTTGTTTCCTGTTTAGGCTTGGGTTTCCGCTTCCTTCTAAAGTCTACTTCAAATCTATACTTCTAACATCTCCGCCTAAACTCTAATTTTATTTACTATTTTTCTTACAAATAGATATATTCGCCTATCGTCCGGTTCACACCCTCCCTGGTATTTTGAACAGGGGTTTTCTTTAGGGTTGGGTTTATGATTAATTCTAAAGTTTTTTTTTTTCATTCTCTTTCCCTCCTAGTAGCCATTTCAAACAAATTAGCAACAACATATTGGACTGTCAATGAATCTTCGCTGGTGGCCAGCTGTCGACTTCAAACGAATCATCGCCAACAACAACAACAACAACAACAACAACAAAGATAGTCAGCGAATTTTCGCTTGCGATAAAAGCCTTTTCTCAACCACACTTCTTTTTTTTTCGTAGAACCAACGATTCAAGAGCCTTGTCTAAACCAGAAATATTTCTGTGACCCAAAGAATTTCACTCAAGTAAAGACTATTTTTAATACTTTGTACCTTTTTTTTTAAAATTCATGTATATATGTTTGTAAATACAAACGATTTATTTAAAAGACATGCTCATGTTTTCTTTGATTTGATATTTATTATTGTCTGGGAATTCTGACGTTCGGAATTTTAATATAAAAAAAAAACCCTAGGCGACTGAATTTACGGCATTGCGTTCAAGTTAGCTTTTACATGGTTTGGAATTCAGGGGGTGTTATTCTCCTAGACTGGCTGCTAACAAAGGCTACATTTTAGTAATAAAGTCAAAGATGATTAACAGGCTCAGTATATTTCTGAGAAGATCACACACTGCAAAGTCATTAAAAAGCTGAAAGCTTGAGATTCATCAATAAAATAAGTAAATAAATATATAATATATTTGGGGTTTCACTTGGGCATTCAGTGTGAATTTCAACATTTTAAATTCAGTAGACATTTTCAATGTTCTATTATAAATTTGAACACTTTAAATTCGTGATGAATTTCAAAATCTTAAATTCATATAAAATTTCAAAACATTAAGTTTCAAAATTTAAATTCAAAATTTTAAATAAAACTTTACTTTCGAATAGTAAAAACATTTAGTAAAAATCAAAACACCATTACACTTTTCTTTTCTTTTCCATTTTTTTAATCATTTCACCCCAAGCAAGACAATAAAGCCACTAAGACGTAAGGGCTACTGAGTGTTAGAGAATATGGGAAAATATACTATAAAGGAGAGTGAATTATAAAAGAACAATAATTAAGAAGACAGTAGATAACGATTGACGTTGCATTTATATTTTTGAAGATTAAATTTGACAGGGAAGCAAGAAATCGGAAGAGAGTTCCACAAGCGAGAAGTGCGATAGAAGAAATTGTTAGCATAGAACTTACGATTACGTCTAACAATTTCAACTGTTAAATGATGAGACCTTACCTCCAATCTAGTACTGCGCTTAAATTTATAAAGTCTAAGTACTATAGATGAAAATTTCATCAAGACATTTACCTTTTAGTTTGTTAATTTAATTCATTTTTTCTTATATTTTTCTTGCATTCAAAATACAAATTAAAATTTGTGGATTGCCTCATTTGGATTTGTTATGCTGCGCTTTGTAACACTATAAAAATGCAAACATATTTCTCTTGCTTTCGGATGTAGTCGAATGTAATTAAAGAACGCTCCCGCTGGGAAACGTTCGCTTCTTTTGGTCCCCTGTTGACTGAACTTTCGTGCGGGTCTATTAAACACGCTCGTTTCACATACAGACAAACAAGCACATTCTTTTTATTGTGTTTTCTTTTGATTTCAATTGTGTACACATGTAGTTCATTTTGTTAAAAACAGGCATTAATTGTCGTTTGTTTTAAATTCCATGTTTTGTATTTTTACCCCGACTTGTATGAGTCCGCAAACATTGCGAGACAAATGTTCCTGAAGACCATAAATATTTACTATGAAATGTCCATACACTTCACAAAGAAAAAAAAAGGTGATTCCCGCAAATATATTTATTAAAAATGAATTTAAACGAAATATTTCCAAAGTGAGACTTCAACTCTTCATAGTATTATTAACTAGTTAAGAAGGTTTTGAAGGAACTTATATTACCTCCACTTATGTTTTTGAGTTATAGTTTCAGTTCATTTTCAAGGTTCTCTCTGTGTCTAAAGCAAGGGGAATCCAAACAGAGATCAGGCAAACTGTTATTTCCCTTCGTTAGGGCCATACTTCTAAAAAGAAACTGTGTCTAAGGGAGACAACTCGCGCAGAAGTAATCTCCCTTGAATAGTATTTTATGGTTTCTTATCCTGTGCAATGAATGTTAGAATAAAGGGCAGAAAAATGTACCCATCGTAAGGAGTGTTTCCGGAGAACACACAGTGTATGTAAAATTTGTTAGAAGTTCAAGCTATCAGCATACGAAATGTAGAAATTGCATAGACATTGATAACAATGATGAACTATTTGGGCTTTCAGGCTGATTTATATATATATATATATATATATATATATATATATATATATATATATATAAATTTCTCAGAGGTAATCTGTAGAAAAGAAAATATTTATAAATGTAAATGACAATAGGAAAACTGTAATAGTTGCCGACGCGTTTTTTGTCTAATGTGGACTTTCTCAAGGCAAAAAACGAAATGAATTTATTTAAACAAAGTAACTAATAAATAACAAAAACAAAATGTCCTTAGCAACTGGAAGAATTTAGAGAACGCTGTTTTCATGCTGTTAACTGAAAATTACATCAATTACTGTCACGTGTGAACATATTGTTATTATTGCTGTGCTGACGGATTCAACCATTTTCTTTTGATTTCACGATATTGTTGTGTACGTTTGTTTGGGAGAGTAGTAAGTTCACCTTTCACCTTTCTTAACAGAATTACTACTTGGTGAAGGAGGCCTAGCCCTATAAGCCACCTTCTGTAAGGACGACCTCGGTATTGTTGCAGTGGGGTTTTATCTGGACTCTGCGATTTTCAGTTATTTAAAAATAGGGTCCTCCGGTTTTTCGCGGGAAAACAGATAGCGTAATGAAAAATGCCACAAACTTAACGAAAATAAAGTTTTATCGTCAAAATGCTTATTATTAAGATGAAAGACCAAAATGCTTATTATTAAGATTAAAGACCAAAGTATTTTTTAATTATTTTTTGAAATTTTTTAATCCTTTCTAATACGTTCGAAATTTTGGTTAAATTCTTCTTTTGTTTGAAAAATAACATTGTTTTTTGTTGTTTTTTTTTTTGGCGCTTTTTTCCGTTGAAAACACATTGATTTGGAAATTCTTGTAAAAATCAAGTAATTGTCCGATTTTAATGAAATTTTCAGGACTTATTCACAAATGAATGAAATTATTTTTTAAATGTTTTTTTTTAGAAAATTTTCGTAGAAAATTTTTTTTTAAATATGTCCCCCCTCACACACACACACACTTACTTAATTTCATGAAATTTCGCACAAAACCTTTCTATTTCCGGAAAAATATTTTTTTGTTAAAAGTAGGAATCTTTGGAGATTGTAAATCACCTATGTTTTGTTTTTTCAAATCTGAGCTATCTAACTGAAAATCTGCTCTGAATTTAAAAATAATGAATCCAATAAAACTATGACATTATTAGAAAAGCTTTCAATTGCTTTTGTAAATAAGTAATACTAAGGACATTATTGTCTGAAGAAATAATTTTTTTTCTGATTGATAATGAAGTTTTACAAGAATTTTTTTCATCTATTTTTAAATTTTTTATTATAATAATTTATAATAGTTTAAAATCATGTAAAATTCTGTATTGTGCTATTTCCTGGATGTGATATAGTAATTAAGTGGAAACAAAATTTACAAATCCAAAATTGAAAAGATTAATAAACTTAGTTGTGCTTTTCTATTTTTAAATAATTTTTTTTTGTATTTTTTTACTTAATACGTTCATTATTTTGATGTACGGTAGACTGAAATTGACATTATTATGATCTAAAAGCTTTGTCCCTTTATTATGTCGCTTCATTTACGTCTCAACAGGTTTTCAAAATTTCTATCCAGGTTTAAAAGTTTAAAGTTCAAAATAAGTTTTACTTTTGCTCAATTACTATTTCGCTAAATATTTGTATTTTATGTATTTACATTAGTGTGGGACTTACTTCAATTGAGTAATCATGGTATTTCATTTGTTATTAAATTATAAAATTAATTGAAGAAAATTTTATAGTATTTAAATTTTTTTTTTATTTTTGCATCTTCGAAAAGTCAATAAAATATTAAATAATTGTGGAAAATATGTTAATTTGTAAAAATTACTAGGTAGTTAAAAACCCAAAATATGCGTTCACTTAGAATTTTGACAATTGGGTCATCCATAGTAGCTGTCAACGCTTCATCTATCAGCATTCCATGAAACGTTGGATCAGATGAACCTGACCAATCGTTAATAATTGGTTGCATATTATTTTTTTATGTTATAAGTAAGTAATACTTATTTCAAATCAGATTAATTTAACTTTAGATTTTCGAATTTTACTAAAATAACATGTCAGAAATATATATTTATTTTTTGAATGAATTTTAAAATAGAAAAACTTGTTTTGTTTACAAATTTCTTGAAATTAAGAAAATAGCCGCTTTTAAGAAAATTTTAAGAAATCAAAACTAAATTTGATATTTCAATCTATATCATTTCTATCTGAAATAATCCAGAATATTTTACTTAATGGAAATAATAAATTTGATTATTAAACCTTCAATTACAGGTAAAAAGAAATATTTAAGAAACATTTTTCATTTAAAAAATTTAATTTTAAACCTTAGGTATCGAAAATTTATGCCAAAAAAGTGGAGCTCCTTATTTAAAAATATAGGAGAGAGGGGCTTAGCCCGCAAAACCCCACATCAGAACAGCCCTAAAATCAATCTTCAATCGATTTTTATTTCAATATTTACCGAAGTTTACTCCGTTGTTAAAATTGCCGAATTTTTTCCCCTTGTCAAAATTACCGAATTTTCCTCAATTGTCAAAATTGCTGATATTTTCCCTCTTGTCAAAATTACCGAATTTTCCGTTACCTAATTTCCCGGGATCCCAAATAACATGTAAAATGATTATAAGGAATCTTGATTTTTTCAACTACTTACCAGTTTTCTTCGATTCTGTTGTTCCTCTGTGATAAATCTTTGGGGTTTAGGTGGGGCTGCCGGCTTTTGTGATTTCAAAGATTCTTTGTTTGCTTCGTAGACCTTTTTGGCATAATCAAATTGCTTCTGTCTCTTTTCTACCTGAAATCAGAAATACGTATCTACATTACACATAAACCTGGCACCCTCAACGAAGGACACACTTTCTAATAATTTTTCTTTGAAAATTACATTCGAATCGTTGGTAACGGTAATAGTAATGTAAGCTGCTTTCTGACACGGAAACATTCGACATTCCTTGACCGAGCAGCTACTACTACCGTCTATGAAATAGGTATGTCCACTTTTTTGCTAAAATAGTGCGATACCCTGATGAAAAAGGCCCCAAACTTAATAGAGACAAAGTTTTATCGCGAAAGACCAAAGTATTTTTTAATTATTTTTTTTTTTACATTTTTTTATTCCTTTTTACCACATTTGAATTTTTGGTTGAAAATCTTGATTTTCTTTTTAGGTCAAAGGTCACCTAATATTTAGCATTGGGTTTTTTAGCTCATTTTTCAGTTGAAAAAACATTAATATTGAAATTGTTGCAAAAATCAAATAATTGTCGGAAATTAATGAAACTTTCAAAACTTATTAAAAAATGAATGATTTTATTTTAGAAATTTTTGCTTTTTAGAAAGTCATGATAAAAATATATTTTTTTTTTTACATCTGTTACCCCCACCTTAATTTTATGAAAACTTTAAAACTAGTAACTGTGTAACTCTGTATTTTTTTTTTAATTAAATGAAGAAGGTTTTGAGGAATATAAATCATCAATTTTATGTAAAGTTTTGCTCGCAACAACCCAAAATTTAGCTCTGAATTGTAAAATACAAAACTCAATAAAACTAGGATATTATTTAATTAGAAAAAAGCTTTTAATGGCTTTTATGAATAATATATATTAAGGACGTTTTTGTCTGAAGCCAAAAATTTTTTGGTTGAAAAATGAATTGTTATAAGATGTATTTTCTTTTTTTCTTTTTTTCAATTATAAATTTTAAAAAAGTGATAAATTTGATAATTGTTTTAATATTAAATTTGAAGCTGTAAATCTCTGGAAATGCTCTTATTAAAAAGGTCTGTTTTTACAGACCATAAATTAGAAAGCTTATCTATTACATGCATCTATTTTTAAAATATTTTTTTATTATGCCAAAAATGTATTAAAATCGTCTCTGACAAAACTATAGATGCACATTTCTAAAAAAAATATCAGGTGTGCTAAAGTTATTTCCCCTGGAATCATGCGGTTATTCTTGACATTGCTTTTGTTCTGGCAGCACGTGTCGAATTCTCTGAGTGACCATTAATGTTGTATTCTCAAAATTTTTCTTCTTCTGCCATTATTATGTCAATTAATAAAAAGAAACATCATTTCATAAATGAGTTACGTGTTTCATTTAAGAAATGTAATGGTATTTTATTTAATCTTTATATTGTCTCAGAAAAAAATTCATAACTGGGACAATATAGAACTTAATTTAAAAAAACATAAAATTTTATAATTGGTGAACGTAACAAGTAGGTTACTCTTTTTGTCTGTTGTAAAACTTGAATTCTAAATGTATTTTTCGTATTTTAAATGTTGTTTTTATTTCAGAAATTCGAATTCTAAATGTATTTTTTCGTAGTTTAAATGTTATTTTTATTTCACAATTCTCCCTCAAACGTAAGGTAAAAAAAAGATTTTAAGTGCATTTTTTTAAAATTTTACTCTACTAAACAGGTTTACTTAAATTAAGCACAAATTTTGTCACTTCTGTCTTACCATCTGATCAATTCCCCTGACGTAAGTTGTCGATATATTGAGGTACGTCAATTCACACCTCCCAAAACCAATCACCATTTTTGGACATGTCTCACTTAAAATATTTTCTGCTAAAAAAGTAAGTAATGTTTGTTTCTCTTAAAAAAATTTTGCAGGAAAATAAGTTTCTCAAATCCAGTAGCTGCTGATCGCAAAATCAAATATTTATGATAAATGATTAAATCATAATTATAAATTAAAATAACGTAAAAAAAACATTGTGGAAGTGAAGACGAATCCGCAGATGAAAATTATTAGCTTTTATTTCCTAAATAATCTTTGCTATATTATATGTGCCTATTATTAAAAGCTGAGTGTTGTAAGGCGTGAAACAGAGTTTATCGTCTATAAGAAGATATTTGATATAATTGTAATGGTAATGTTTCCTTGTAAGAAAATATTTGGCATTCATTGACGGAACAGCCATTACTACTTCCGGTTGAAATTTATAAATTCTTTATTATAATGTTCATATAAGCTCGTAGTTTCTGGTTAATAATATTGTAAGGAAACACTGGGAAGATTAGAGAAGAAAGGATTTAATCATATGAGGGACATAGATTAATAATACAATAATAGCGAATACCGGAGTTCAGTGTGGCAATGCGTACGACGCAACGCTAAGACTAGTGACCCACTTTACAACCGCTGATCTTACGAGCAGACGTTCCACTCATAGTGAATGGACGAGTCAATGTCCAACATTTAGTGTAAAGAAAGTCGATTATCTTTCTACACAAAAATCTTTCTCTTAAAACAAATTTTCAGGAAAATACATTTCTCAGCTCCAGTATCTATTATCGCTGTTCCAGTATTGATGGGGGTCTTCTTCCTAAAATTTTATTTGAAATAGTGTGGAATAATTACTTTTTGATTATGTCATCATCGTCTATAAGAAATACTGTTCTCCAAGACCTTGTTAAACCTTTGCTACACTGCCCCAGACCTCCAGAAGTAATAAAAGTTAAAGTACGTTGAATTATTATTTTTTTTAATGTATTTGTTTTGTTTTGTTTTTCTTTCGGGTTTCAATTTTTTTTTGTTTTGTTTTCAACGCCAAAGCATGCATGCAAATCGTAATGCATTACATAATGCATTACATCAAAATATTACTCATTCATTCTTTTATTAGTGTACAAAAATTAAAATCTATACGCACAATACAAAGAACCTCATAACAATTTTACAACAGGTGTTCATGTTTTTGCACCCTCAAAAAAATGAAGTTACAGGGGAGACAACTCTATCAGTTGATAAAGGCGTTAGTTAGATCCAGTGACAGGACCCAAAGAGTGTGAGTTCAATACCCGTTTAAGGCAGTGGAGAATTTTCAGAGGGAAATTAACAGGTGATAACTGATAACTGACATCCATTAAACAGCCGAACCGTTGTAATAAATATGGCGATAAAGATGAGGATAATAGTCCGAATAATATAAATAATGTACATAATACCTCATTTCAGAAATATAGACAGAATTTTGATTCACTTGGTAAGGAACAATCTTATTGTCATTAATTTGAATCATTATCATTATAATACACCAAGAACAATCTGATTAAAGTTACCCTTGTTTTTCTTTTGTGGCCATTTTTATTTCCTCTTCGTTTTATAGAAGCGTAGAATAGTTAACAGTGATCAGCTAGTTTCAAGAATGTAAACATGGAAACTCTGATCAAGAATAAAGTGGTTTTGTTTCATTTCCTTTCGTTTTGGTATCAACTTAACGACTCATTAACCACTATAAGGCGATATAGAGGTGTTGAATCGTGTTTTTTTTTAATTTTATACATGTATGCAAAAGGCTATTATCTCCCATTGGCTGAGATGTGGCATGGGGTTCACGTGATGTCTGGTGAGTGACGTCAATTTATAGAGTGTCGAACGGCAGTTGCTATATTAGCACGCTTGGAGACTAGACGTCTTTAATGACACCAGTTGCAATGTGTGTTGTACATGGTCTCACGGGACACATAAAAGAAAACACCGACCTACTTTTTCTCCTGTCGTGATATGTTACATGTAAGACCCTTTATCTTTTCTCCCTTTTTACCCTGCTTATTGTATACATATGTTATAGTTCCTCCGCGTGGGACAAAATAGTTTCAAGTATGCATATATATATAAATAAAAATGTCTTTAATAAATATATATCGGATATATCTTAACATATATATATATATATATATATATATATTAAACGACTGACAAGGTATATTGCGATTAAGCATTTTATTTATTTTTTCTTGTGTTCCTTCAAGTAATTTCTTTTCTCGACACAAAACGTGTAAAAAAAACTGTCCAAACCACACTACTACATGCCTATCCAAACGATTTACATTACACCTATCTGACCGTAACTCAATTTATTTGTTTGGGTTAATTTATATTACATGTTTTTCATTTTTATTTTGTATTAGCGACCTAAGCAATTCCCACCAACATTTTTTTATTACGTTAATAAAACATCAAAAACCGAAAAGAATAAATAATACAAAATAAAAATGAAAAACAAGTTAAATAAATTAACCTAAACAAAAAAAATAAATAAACAAACAAGCCACTCCTGCAAAAATTACGACCAGAATAGATTACCCACAATGCAGCAGTGATCCATATATATAAATAGTCGAGAAAAATTCCAACATTCGCGGCCTGACGATTGCGTCTAGCCTGAAACAGCATGTCGTCTCTGAGTGTTGACTTCAATCCTCACTTTTATATTTAGATTTACACACGCTCTATCTCTGATATCGAGCACTTTATCCCATAAATCTAGCACACTTTATCACATAAATATAGCACACCTTAAAACTATATATATATATATATATATATATATATATATATATATATATATATATATATCTTTTGTCAATCCTTTCTTTTCGTTCGTTTATAAAGTTATTAGTATATCATGAATATAATAACGCTTGTAGTGGAAAAATGAAAACTGTGTATAGTGTGATGTAATATGTGGATCAATGAGAGTTTTGTATACAGATTAGCTGGTGATTTTTTTTTCTTTTTAATTAGTTATTACAGTTGCCTGAATTCTAATACAACATAGTTTTTGATACGAGTTTGCGTTTTCGGTTTTTTTTAGTGGGGATCTTTATGAAGTCTGAAGATTTCTTTTTGTTTTTTGTTTTTTGTTTTTTCAATTTTCAAAACATTAAATGTTCTATGCAGCTTTTTAGCGGGGAGAGGGCGGAGTTTTTAGCCTTATAAATGGCGTTCCAGTAACTTGGACTGATTTTAAATGTTAATTAAGTTTTAGCGTCTAATGATTTTTTTTTCATTTTCTTTCAGATTTAACAACTAAAGACTGGCAATTTCAACCATGGAAAGATTAACAATCAAATAACTTGTTAAAACTTCAAGAGGGCAATTGGAGAAATTGTTTGTAAATTCAAGCAAACTGGGTCATTGCAGATGTGAAAACACTACTGCGTGCTCGTTTACACCGTTCAGCTGAAAACATTGCTGCAGTACACGAGAATGTGGCCTTAAATCCAGACATCTCTATTCGTCATCGTGTGCAGGAATTGAACCTCTCCACAAGAACACTACTTCGTTTCCAATTGCACTCTCGATTAGTCGATTATGTTGGCCAAAATAATCACGAAGTGCGCGAAATGTATTTCTGTTTGAGCGCCCATTTTCATAATAGGCTTTGATAACTTTAACACGTTGTTTGAATGTTGGTCTTTCCCTGGTTGAAATTGCCAAAGACTTAAGTTGTTAAATCTGAAAGAAAAACAAAAAATCATTAGACGCCTAAAAATAATTCACATTTAAAACTGGTCCAAATTACACCCTTTATTTTGGTATAAATTTTGATTTCCTTTATTTGTTCAGTGTTTTGGAAGAATTAATTTGTATTGTTTGCTTGATAATATTTTGTTTGGGTTTGACTGAAATTTTAAATTATAAGTATATTTTCGACTGTTAGAGGTACTTGACATATGTTGCAAGATTAAATACGCGAAACTTGTATCAAGAATGAAGAACTTGAAACGGGATTCAAAAATTCAAAAAGTGAAAATAGATTTAAAGACTTTAGGACGTAAGCGATCATATCTCTCCAAAATTTCATTTCCATTGTGGCTCTTTGCAGTGTTTGCCTTTTTTACTATCAATCCCATTCCTTCATATTCGTAACATTTGCTGTAAACATTTTTGCCGTAGGAAAACTCGCCTTATGAATTTTTGCCGTAAGACAATTTTTTTTCGATAACTCAACTACTTCTTTGAGTGTTCAAATTAGGTATTCAGTTGGTGTATTTTAATTATATGACAAGGTAGTATTTAAAATTGTTTAAATGTCTTTGTGTTTGATGAATTGCATGTCAATTTTTCTTTGGATCAAAAGGTGGTGTGTTGTTATAAAGTATATTTCAATATTTACGTATTTATAGTGAATTTAAAACAGTTTCTGTTTGCAAATAATTTGTGTAAACTTCAAAAACTTACTGAGAGTTTAAAGGTTTATCTTTTCTTTGATCAGATATTTTATATTGACGTTAGTTGCGTATTCAAGTTTTAAGTTTGTTTGAAATAATATATATTATGTTAACAGAAAGTGTAACGTTAAGTCTGAAATATGAAATTGCGTGACGTAAGTTCTGGTGTCAAGTTGAAATTTTTGTGCTCCTCACTGACGAGGATGAATGATGCTTATTAAAATGTTTAAATCGAAGTAACTATAGTGTGAGCCAAATATACTTGATAACAAAGTACATTTCATATTAAAAAAAAAAAATGCGGCGAAATTATCTCATGGCAAAAATCTTATACGAGAAAGTTTACTACGGCGAAAATTCCTGAGACGAGTTTTCCTACGACAAAAAATGTTTACGGCAAATGTTCCTAAAATCTTATCCCTTAAATTGTTATTATTTACAAAAGCTTGTTAGGTATGTTATTCACTATTTCACTCAGTCTCTCTTGCCTTCAGTATGGCCCTGAGAGTTTCAAATTCTCCAAATCTTATTTCCTTTTTATGTGTCACAGAAATGTCCACTGTTTTTCAGATTCTCCAGATAA